GCTCTCTGCAATTCATAAATGCAATGCTGAACCTGCCCACCCATGGCAGGTGGAGCCCTCTGCTTTGGCACAGCTCATCCCCCCACACATGCACCAAATGTGGGGTTTGCAAGTGAGGACCCTCAGCTTCGGGGGCTCTGGGGAGGGTTTGTGCATGTAGGAGAAAGGAGCTAACAGAAGAGCACCCTGCCAGAAGGGCTGACATCTGAGACTGTCCCTTTAATTGCAGTAGCTGCTCTTTGGCCCCACGAGGTATGTTACAGATCAGATCACAGTCTCCCAGCTGCCACGGGATGGTATCTTATCCATTACTGTGCCATTCTTGAGCTTGTCTGCATAGTATTCAGGGAGGGGAAGAGGCATTACTATTAAAATAGATTTAGTTTCTATTAACTAGGCTCCTTTCTCCAATCTGTTTCATCATGTGCATCAACCCACCCGCCTGCACCTGCAAGGAGACCCTTTTGGTTGATCTTGTATCTGGACTGGTGACATGCCAGCATTTCTTCCTCCTGATAGAAATGTTCAGCTAGCTTGGTTTTAATAACCTTTCTCCATATAAATTGCTGCTGCCACTCATTGCAGTGTCACTTCAGTCCCTGACCGAGCGCTTTACTGGAAGGCAACATAAGATATTTAAGCAAGCAGGACTGTGCTACTTGACCATATAATATGCCAAGAGATACAAGAGCCACAAAACACATCACAGACAGCATGCTGTCGTTACTGAGGAGCACACCAGCAGGTTAAATTATCAGCCCCATGTGAAGTACACCTCTGGCTCAAGGATTGTCATTGAGTGCATACCCCTCCTGGCAATGACCTGTCACTAGAACAGAAATACTTGCATATTTTTCTATAGCAACAGCAAATGCGAATGATGTTATTATGTTATCCACTTGGAGAGAAGAGTTCCTTTTATCTATTATTTCCTTTACATTTATTCTGCCTTTTAATCTCAAGTGTGCTTGCTGTCCTGGACAAATCCCATTTAAGATTTTCCAGCCTGAAATGGATTACTGTAGCCGACAGCCTCAACACTTGAATTTTGGAGAGGAAAGAAGGCTGCTTCTGCTTTCATGCTTCCTCTCCCTTCTCTTCCTTCACTCTGGCAGGATTTTGAAATAGCCAGTGTCCCAGCTGTATCCCACAGTAAGCTTCTGACCCATAGGAACTCATGTTCATGCCCAGCAGCACTGTCAGAAAAGCCCAACCAGGACATGCTTTTGCAAAATTAGACCCAGTCAACAATCTGAGACTATGAGCATGTAAACAACCTCCAGCTGCAACAGAAGTTGGAGCACTCTTGTGAGTAGTTGTATGAGGTTACCAAGCCCTGGAAAGGACAAAAACCATGGGGAGGGTGTGGGTAGCACCTGGGATGAAATAAGGTTAAAGGCTGTGAAGGTGGTCATCCACACCTAAGTAGCAGAAGTGACAGCTTCAGTTTTCCAAGCTCTCTGTATCCATGAACAATTTCTGCCTCCACAGTAGCAAAACAAAACCCACTGTTCACTCTGTTTGTCTCTGGAGGGGTGTCACTCCTGTCTTTCTGACATAGCTTCATCAGGATCAGGAGACTTCTCCCTGAACTTCTCCCTTCCTGAAAGAAACAGCAGAGATTTCTCTCTTTCTCTAGCTCAGGCTTTCTTTATACCAATTTATGAAATCGTAGCTAAAGCCAAAAGCAGTAAAAGGACAACAAATAGGTGATGTATTGAAAAATTGATTAAAATCAAACACAATGTGTCTTAAAAGAAAAAGAAAGAATACCAGACTGTCTACCTATTTGAAAAGAAAAGAAAAAAAAAAAGTCACTATAAAAATAACCAAGAGGGGTTCCCTCTTTTTCTTTAAGCAAAAGGAGTGTGAAGTCACTGATTCATTCTCCTGAGAATCCACTGTCTCTGCCTTGAGGGAGCCCCAGATAATTTCCCTGTGAGATTTGGGAGCTGAGATTTTGTGGATTTTTACATTTTTTTTCCTTTTTATGCAAGAGTTTCATTCTCCTGCAAAACACTGATCGTGGAAGGAAAAAAAAAAATTAACAAGCAACCAAAAAACAAACCCCAAGCCCAGAAAGATGTGATAATTAAATATGGAAAATTTCTGATGAGTGTCTCAACTGGAAAAATTGTCACATATGCAAGTCTGATTTGGAAAGGGATGTGAGCTGAGTTGTTAGGACAGATAAGTCTTTCTGATGAATTATAGTGGCTCAGTGGCACTGAGAAGAAACTGAATACTCCTTGTTCTATTTTCTGGATGAATTAGTTTCTTCCCATCTGTTCCCAAGGATCAGTGACATTTTCCTAATACATCCGTGGTTTTTTGACATATGCCTGTAGATACTCAACATAACTGTGAAGGTGGTCATCCACACCTAAGTAGCAGAAGTGACAGCTTCAGTTTTCCAAGCTCTCTGTATCCATGAACAATTTCTGCCTCCACAGTAGCAAAACAAAACCCACTGTTCACTCTGTTTGTCTCTGGAGGGGTGTCACTCCTGTCTTTCTGACATAGCTTCATCAGGATCAGGAGACTTCTCCCTGAACTTCTCCCTTCCTGAAAGAAACAGCAGAGATTTCTCTCTTTCTCTAGCTCAGGCTTTCTTTATACCAATTTATGAAATCGTAGCTAAAGCCAAAAGCAGTAAAAGGACAACAAATAGGTGATGTATTGAAAAATTGATTAAAATCAAACACAATGTGTCTTAAAAGAAAAAGAAAGAATACCAGACTGTCTACCTATTTGAAAAGAAAAGAAAAAAAAAAAAAAAGTCACTATAAAAATAACCAAGAGGGGTTCCCTCTTTTTCTTTAAGCAAAAGGAGTGTGAAGTCACTGATTCATTCTCCTGAGAATCCACTGTCTCTGCCTTGAGGGAGCCCCAGATAATTTCCCTGTGAGATTTGGGAGCTGAGATTTTGTGGATTTTTACATTTTTTTTCCTTTTTATGCAAGAGTTTCATTCTCCTGCAAAACACTGATCGTGGAAGGAAAAAAAAAAATTAACAAGCAACCAAAAAACAAACCCCAAGCCCAGAAAGATGTGATAATTAAATATGGAAAATTTCTGATGAGTGTCTCAACTGGAAAAATTGTCACATATGCAAGTCTGATTTGGAAAGGGATGTGAGCTGAGTTGTTAGGACAGATAAGTCTTTCTGATGAATTATAGTGGCTCAGTGGCACTGAGAAGAAACTGAATACTCCTTGTTCTATTTTCTGGATGAATTAGTTTCTTCCCATCTGTTCCCAAGGATCAGTGACATTTTCCTAATACATCCGTGGTTTTTTGACATATGCCTGTAGATACTCAACATAACAGGAGCCCAGCTTGAACCTATAACATGTTTTGTCTGTTTTCATGCATGTGCCAACGTGGGGTGAGATGAACCAAGCCAGGCCACCCCATGGCCATGCTAGAACTGAAGCAGACCCCACAAAACCATTATTTGCCTTCTAGTTCAACCAGTTCAAACCACAGTTAAGGAAATTATATCTCTCTTCTGGGGGTGTTCATCAGCTTTTGCTCAGCTCCTGTCAAATTAAAACTCTTTTTAAATGTTTAATGGAATAAGGTGGTTTTACAAGAACCTCAAGGTTACAACACCAGTCACACAAGAGGTGAGTCAATGCCAAAAGTGAAGCTGCCAAGGCTGGTTTAGGCCCAGCTCTTTCTGTGTTCATAAAAGGACAGAGACATAGCCTCTGGGAGGACCATACAGACCCCCTCAGCACTACAAAGAGGCCATTACAGGAGATGTAAGAGCACAGTGAAGATGATACTGCACCTCCTCTCCAGGGCACTGCCCCCAGCTCCTCACACTTGCAGGGGGGTTGCAGGGGCTGAAGGCAACTGGGCAGATTCTCTACTGGAGATGAAAGAGGATCAACCTTTTCTAATCATACAAAAATGCAGATTTTGAGGAGGCTTTAACTTACAACTACATATGGACAACTTTTATGTGTCCCCCGACAGCAGGATGGCCACCCAGGAAGCGTCTGCTTCACACCCCAGAGGGCTTAGGCACTTGCTTCCTAAAGAACGGGTTGTGAGGCTTTTTTAAACTTAAATAAAGCAATTTATTTCCCCATCTTTTGTTCCCAGACACTGCTGATTGGTTTCACTGAAATGTTGATTTAAAAAAAAAAAATGGTATAGCTTCAAGACAGACACCATCATGAGAAATTTCAGCCCAACTGGCTCATATTTAATAATGTGCATATGGTGTGCTAGCAGCATACGGGACAAGTCAACTCATTTAATTAGAATTATTTTATTTGATAATTTGTGGTTCGTTTTACCAGTATTTCTAATAATGCCATAGCTAACACAAGAGTTTTAAAGCATCTTTGGAAACTCTGATTGAACGTGACTTAGGATAAGGGGCTTTGTTTCCTTTCAAACCCTAACCTGACAGAGTTTGTTGTTGAAGTGCAGGACTGCTTGGAGGTACAGGCACGTTGCAAAATAAAAATGCAGGTGAATTTACAAGGCAGATGAAGGGGAAAAGAAAGTCAGGGCTCAGAAAATCTTCTGAATTATGTGGGTGACCTTCCCACAAGCAAAAACAGAAAACAAAGGGCATTGGATATTATTGAGCAGGTCTCAGCACTTTGTGTTTCTTCTGTATTTAGCTGCTGCACAAACATGGGAAGCATCTGAGCTAAAATTTACAGCAACTGTGAAACAACTTGACATCTTAATTTTATATGTAAGAGTGACTCCATTAGGCTTTGGGAGAGGATAATTGTACTTCACCAGTTTAGAGAGAAGCGTGTACTGGGGGATGAAGGACTGATGAACTTTAGAAGTGCCTTTGAGAACTTGGAGAGAGAAGAACAAGACCAGGAAAGCTTTCCTCATTTTTCTTTCCCCAGCCTTGGAGGTGTAGAAAAACGTGACTTATCTGTAAATAAGGGGAATGTATAAATAAGAAAACAGTCTCCAAACCTGAGCCTAAAACTGATCTCAGTGTTGCTTTCCATTGACAGATAACAAATATGCTCCTGCAGTCACTCTCAATGGGTTCATCTTTATTCTTGGAGGAGCTTATGCACGAGCAACCACCATCTATGACCCAGAGAAAGGCAATATTAAAGCAGGTCCCAACATGAACCACTCCAGACAGTTCTGCAGGTGAGAAAAACCATTAAAACTGAATTACTGGTGCCTTAATGCTTTCTGGTGATACCTAAGCTCACACCACCTAAGAGTGAAGGGGAGAGGGGAAGGGAGGTGTGTCCATCTGGGGGTTTGCCTCATCTCTTTTTCATACGTGTGCAGGGACACAGCATTTCCCAAGGGGTGCATCCAGGGCCCTGCAGTGTCTTCACATCCAGGCACGACGGGTCAGGGGGAGGGAGGGATGTGTGTGTGTGTGTTGGGCTCCTCCAGCAGACTGCAGGGATGCTGCTTCCCTCACTCATGTGCAGCCAGAGGATGCTGCAGGAGAGACATGTGGAACATGTTTTTGCTAACTAGCTGTAAGATCCTTGGAAGAAAAAAAAAAACAAAAACCTGAGTGAGCACCACATGCTGCTATTAATTATTATTTATTATGTGCTTCTGATTGCTTTTTGGGCTTGGTTCCCTGATCCTGGTCACAGGTTTAGCAAACTTCCCAAACTGGCTGACAGAAATAAAACTTGGCACCCACTGCAGGTACTGGCAGGACTTAAAGGCCTCTTAAAAAAAGTACTACGTGGCTGTTAGAGGAAGACAGGCTTGTTTCAGGCTTCCTGCAGCAGCAGCAGCCCCTCAGAGCAGCTCCCTGGGGTTCCCAGGGGAAAAGCCCTCCCTGCCCTGGGGTCAGAGGCTGTTCCCGAGCTCCCATGCAGCAGCGCCTGGTGGCACCAAGCAAAACCGGGACAGAAAGGTTATGCCAGGGAAGTGTCCGGGCAAAACACCGGCTGGGTGGGAAGGAGGAGCAGCAGCCGGGACCCCGAGCGCTCAGCCCAAGGGCTGTTCCCGCCCCCGTCCTAAAAACGCTGGGTTTCTCTCTTCTGGCAGCTGTGTCTTTTTTTGCCTTTTTTTTTCTGGTTTTCTCCCTGTTTTCCCTTTCTTTTCCCAACTTCCCGAGCGCCCTCTCTTGGCGGCCGGAGCAGTTGGAAGCACAGAGAGGGACACGGCCCTGACATCCAGGCTGGGGGAAAAGCAGAATGAGAAGGAGCCTGCAGTGCTCAGACAGCTGCTGCTGCTGCTATTTTTTCTCCTGAAAACCAGAAATAAAGGGTAGGATGCAGCTCGGGATTAGAGCCCTAACCAGTAAAATGAAACATGAGGGACTTGGAACACTTGGAACATTCCTGTGCCTTCCCATGGAGAGGGGTGAACTGCTCTTTGATCAGCTCTTGTTTTCTGAAACAGAACAAAAAATCTGTAAATTAAATATCTGGAATACACTACAAGAGAAATTGCATAGTTGCAGTGATTTCCAGCAAGGGCTGTTAGCTGAGCATCTCTGCTGAAAACTTCCCAGGGTTTTTAACATGGCCACTTTGCTCTGCACCCTGCAAATGGGAAACCAGTGGAAGACCTCGTGATGGACCAAGGAGAGTGACCTAAATACTAGTTGCTTCTTAGGCACCCTAGTAAACTGCCTTTCCTTAAGTAGAGTATGATACCCATCAGGAAAAAGTAACTTCAGACTTTTAAATTAATTTTTTTTTCCAAAGCTTGATGCAACAGGGAGCTAGAAATGTACATTTATAGTCACCAAAAAAATGAATAGTTCAGTACATCCCAATTGGATGCCAAAAAGGCACCATTTCATAAATCCTTAAATGTGCTGGGCAACAATCAAGGGAAAATATTTCAGCCAAAAGAGTATGTGAGAGCTGTGATCAAAACAAAATAAATCAGGAGGTATGGAAATAGGGAAGATGGGAAGTGAGCAGGAACAAGTATAAGGTAGAGGTTAAAAACTGCTGCTACAGGGGACCAAGGGAAGCAAAGAGCCAATAGGAGGGAAAAGAAAGGCACTTGAAACCCGTGGGATCAAATTAGTAATTTCAATTGTTTATAAAAGTTATATGAGGCAGCGAAGTCTAGCACAGACCAATCAGGGGGGGATTTCTCAACTGTATTTGGAAGGGAGAAAGAAGGTTTGGTTCCATACTCTGCTGTGAGGGGACCAGACGCCGTCACTGGTGGCAGCAAGGAAATATGTGAATGAGAAAGGTCAGAAATTAAGTACTCAAATCAGGCAGCTCGGCTGCCTGAGACACAGGTGTCTTTAGAGACTTCACTGGGAAGCTGTTTTGAACCACTAATGTTGATTTTTAATAACTCTTGCAGTGCAGGATGGATTAGGGCACTGTCGAAGTGTCACCACGTTTTGAAAAGGTGAAAGGGAGAATCTTAGCGCAGCAATTAATTTTGCAAAGTGCCAACATCAGGCTAAGTGGTCTCACTTAGCTTCGTGTTGGTCCTCTGCAAAATACCAGAGTGATTAATTTGAGGTTTCATCAACAAACAACTAGAAACTAATAATACAATGAACAGCAATCAATGTGCTTGCTTGGAAAATGTGTCTTGTTAAACCAACCTGTTGTCTTTTTGGTTTTGGGGGGAGGAATTTCTTGCTTTTTGTTTTGGCTTTTAAGAAAACATGCCTGGCTGCTAAAGACAACTGTGATGCTATAACATAGTGTGATTTCTCCAAGGTATTATGGCTGGTATTATATGGAATTAGCAAGGCACACATTAGAGAGATTAAATCTGTTTCACTGACAGATCTCAAAATGTAGTTGTTAATGAGAAGATACTGAGCAAGGCCACTGGTAGCAAGCATTGATTCTTCTTCAGTGTTATTTAATGTATCTGCCAACAATCCAGGCAATAGAAAATCTCCCCTGGTAAAGGCTGCAGGTGGCATAACACTTGGTGGGTAAGAAGTATGACAGAAGGAACTGTTTTAGCCAGTTATCTGCATGTCTCAGTTAGTCTCAAGTGAGCAGCAGTAGTTTAAATGCCAAGTAACACGTGGAGGAAGTGCAGTCGTGAGCTGTACGTAGCAGCCCTGCTCCCCTTAGGCAGCCAGGAACTCAGAGGAGGACATAAAGGAGGCCACTCTCAGCTACAAAACTTGGCTGTCATTGCAGCACAGTGGATGAAATGTCAATGCAATATTTGATATATATTATGAGCCCCAAAACTGAAATGAGAACAGCTGAGAAGAGAGAGGTGCTGCTGCGAGATGAGTGCAGGACTCGGGTCCATGCGTCAGCATGTGGAAATACCAGCAGGA